AACAGCCCATTAGATGCAGCTTGAAGTTGTGCAGGGAGAGCAGACCTGACCCGGTCCTGCCCATCACTGACCTGCTCCCCAGAGAGAGCCAGTTTGCCTCCCTCTTTTGACCCTTTCAGTAAGAGATCCACTTCTCCAACTCCCCCGCGGAGCCACTGCCACGATTCCCCCAGTCACACAAAGCTAGCCTTGCTGCTGATGTCCTCGTGCACAGACAGGGAAGCTGAGGCTCTAGAAGGACCTGTCTAGGGTGACACAGCAGCGCTAGAACGCCAGTGACTCATTCTCTCTGCAAGCGCCCCCCTCCATTGATTGTCTGCATCCTTATCCAGTTTAACTTTCTGTCACTGACTTCCCTGCCTTTACCCTTTGGTCTCTTCTCCTCTCTAGGTCAGATGAGCAGATCAGGGACAGGGTCTACATTTGCACTCAGTTCCATGTGCGCCCACTGCCTCCAGTAGGGTCTGCCCCATAGTAGCTGCTGAATAAACATTTGCTTCGTGAATGAATTAGTAGCCAAGATGGAACTGGGATGTGTGTGCGTGTTTCCTGACTCCCAGGCCAGCGTGTTTTCCTGCGTTTGCCGTCTCCAGAGCCAGGGGAGGTCCAGGCGGTGGGAGGATGGCTGGGAGTTCAGAGTAGCACCAAATGGCCTGGGGAAGGGGTGGGGGGCTGCTTTAATTGCCAGAAAGCAGCTGGCCATTTGTTTTTGGTCAGATAAGCTGCAAAAGCAGCACTTGTGAGTGTGTGAGTCTGGGATGGGGCAGGGTTAGGGTGGCGGAGAGGGGAGCGGAATCCCAGAGTGGGCTGGGCAGCCCTCCCGGTCCCCCTGCTCCTGGGTCCTCCCCTCCCCTTTCCCTGTGATAACACCACCAGCTGTTAGGGACGCAGCTGCTGCTGCCTCTTGGGAAGGGAGAAAAGGGCCCTGTTGTCCTGGGTGAGCTCTGAAGCTGTGGAGTTCAAAGTAGACCTGTGAAGTGAGGGGGCTGGAGCCGGGAGCCGGGAGGGAGGAGGTGAGAAGTCAGCAAGGGGCAGAGAAAGGCAACTTTCACTTTGATGTCCTCCACCCAGAGCTAGCAGCAAGGCCTGGCAAGGTTCCTGTGTTTCCCCCTCATCCCGAGCCCTTAGAGAGATCCAATTAGCCACGCTTTCCTGTCTTCCCAGGGGGGCGTTTATCCAGATCCCTGACCCCACCACACACTCGCTACGTAAATACCGCACCCAAAGCCCCATGCACACACATGTCCTGCACGCTCACAGGTGACCCCATGGCACACGCCAGCCCTGCACACATGTATCACAGCCACACGGCCATGGGCACAGAGGGCCAGGCTAGCCTCTGCTATCAATGCCAGGAGCTAGTCTGGGGGTGGGGTGGTGAGAGCTATTAATTCCAGGGGTCCCCCAGTGTGAGGCCCTGTTCCCCTGGAGCTGTGCATCTCTGGCTCACCACAATACCCTAAGAAGTCCCCCAGGAAACCCGCTCGGCCTCTCCAGGGCCAGAGCCAGCCCGGGGAACACTGGCCAATAGTCCTGCCTTAGCTGCTGGTTTGCCAGATGGCTCAGGGTAGATTATTCTGGATCAATTTGGCAAAAAGTTGCCCTCGTTAATGAAGGAGAGAAGCCCTGGGGTGCAGACCAGCCCTTTCAATCCTTTTCCTGATAGCGTTTTCATGGCTATAGTTTACCAGGCACCAGATGGATGCAGGACCGGAATGGAAAGCAGGTTCTGCCGAGGTACTCTCTCTCTGGTGAGGGCTGCCTTCTGAGCCTTGGCGGCATGTAAGGTCTGACTCCAGCCAGTGGTCCTTGAACCTTCATCTTCTGTGTTGGGTGTCAGGCTGGGTAAGCCCTGAGGAGGGCTGATTCTGGTCCTTTATGCTATTGCTGGTGGCCCTCAGCCCATCTGGTTCCAGCTGGCTCTTGGCTGGAGGCCAGGTCTTATCAGCACTCCACCTCCTCTGGCCCCAGCCAGTGGCACCCTCCCAGCCTCGGGCCCTCATTTCCACCAGTCTGATTCCTCCGTTGAGATTAACTGCCTCTAACCCCCTGTGAGGCAGAAAGCCTGAGGCCAGAGGATTCAAGTGATGGATGCGTTTCTTCTCCCACGGGATCTCTATCTGGCTCAGGATCTAAGTGGGAATGACTAGGGAGAGGGACCTGATTTCAGGGCGCTCCCAGCTCGCTTGCACCCCTCCCTCTATGTTCCCAGCTGCCAAGGACAGGGGTACCTGCAGCTTTCTGGGAGAGCAGAGAAGTTTGGATTCACCGCAGGTCTTGAACTTGGCTTTTATTCTGGAATGTCCTGAGAAGTCATTTTATTTATAACAAGAGCATCATCTGTGAGCTGACTTGAGCCAGACACATTCCTGCACTACGCTAATTTCCCTTTTGATAGGTCAAGTTTGAAGACGTCTGACGTGGTTAAAGGTTAACTATTGCCACCCAAGTTTGCTGTCAGATTATGACCATCAATCATTCTGCTGTGCACACAGGCTGCTATTAGACAAACATGCAGAAGCAAGCTGGTCCCAGGCCGTTTGGACTCTTGGTACTGTGAAAGTCAGGAAGCCCCAGCTTGGGTCCGATTGGGTGTCCCAACCATCATTTTTCAGACTGCTGAAGTTCTAGGGTCCTGTTAACTGTCCAGCTGGCAGCAGGCAGCCAGGAGTCCTCTTTGGGAATGGCTGGGCACCGGGGCTGTTTCTGGATCAAGCTACGTTGCTAACTAACCCTGAGGGTTTAGTACAGACTGTTCCCTGGCAGGGTTCTTATGCCCTGTTCAATCAAGAGTGGGGAGTCTCTCTAAAGTAGTTTAGTCAATCTATTTTTAATTTTCCCCAAGAGAGCTTATTTCAAAGCAAATTCCATGCATCCTAGCGCCATTGTACATTTCTATAATGCTCAACAGATGACAAATACCTCCATTTAAAAAGGGTTGGAGTTTTTCCTTTGGGAACACAGTGGTTTAGTCCGTGAACTCAAGACAGCCTTGGTTCAAGTTCTGATTCTGGCAATTACTAGTTGGGTGACCTTGATCAAGTTATTCTTCCTTCCTGTATCTGAATTTCCTCGTTTGGAAAATGAGAGTACCTACTTCCTAAAGTTGTCTTGCCAATTAAAGGAGATAAGTACATATAAAATAGAAAACGTGCTAGAAGAATGCCTAGCACGTAGTAGGGGCTCAATAGATAATCCTCAGGACAAACATCAAGGTGTTCTGTTTTGCACATTGCCTTTAGGTAAATGTCATCCAAGACCCTCAGGATCTTATCTTTCTCTGCAGCCTCTTCCTGCATCTCCCATTGCACCCGAAGGCTTTGGCCATGTTTATTTTCATTTTAGTATCTTTGCATTTTATGTTTCTTCCTCCTGGTCTATGCTCCCTGTTTTTCTCCCACCTTCTATTCTTGGCAAGCTCCTGTTCAAACAGCACCAACTGGGGGCCCGAGGACATGTTTTCCTGGTCCCGCCCTATCTTTTAAAAAAGGAATTTATTTTCTCAAATTTGAAAATCAGGAAATTTCTTATAAAATCCAGAATTTGAAGTTATGTTGAAAAACCGGAAGGCATGAAGATGCTGGCAACCAGAGACTGAGCTGAGGAGGCCTCCTTTTGGGTGGAGTGTGCTTGCTCTGGTTTGCTGCAGGCTCCACCACTCCCTATTGTCTCAAACTGGCCGTTTTATCTGTATACATTCTCAGTCTTGGCCTTGCGGGTATTTCAGTTTGGGTGTCCCAGCTTTAAGGCACCTGCAGAAGCGTTGCTGACCAAATGTCCCTTGAGACAACAGATTCTAGTTTTCTAAGACCTTTGCTTCAGTTATGGGCAAGACTCATCTCCTGATTTTGGGTCATCTCCCCTCTGCCCACATTTAACTGGCCTCCTCTGCTCTTGGGGTGGGGTGGGTATTTTTTACTTTGCCTTTTGCATCCCTCCTTCCTGCCTGCCCACAGGTCCCAGAGAAGTGGGCAGACAGGGTAGAATGAGTTTCTACAGGACTACTCCACGGCATCTACTCAGCGGCTACCCGATTCTCTGCTTCCTCCTCTAATTGTAACTTCCTGTCCCCACATGGCCTTATAGAAACCTCCTGCTCCGTGCAGGGCATACAAACCTGAGGCTGAAATGCATCTTTATTCTCATTGCACAGTACTTCCTCCTCTTTTTATTCTCTGCCTAACTCATCCATTCACTTAGTCACTCAACAACCACTAAGTGATCACCAGCTACATGCCGGGTACTGTTAAGTGCTTGGAGAAGAAGAAAAGCAAACAGTAACACGGGACCAAAATTCGTCCTGTGACGTTGGGCAGGACATTTACCTTGTTAGGTCTCAGTTTCTCCACAGATTTAATGACTTGATTAGAGATTCTTTTCTCTGGGTTTGTTTTCATCCTGTGACTCTGTCCCGACTCCCTGAAACTCATTATATATACCCTATGCAAACTCATATCTGCCATCAGCCTACGAACTCTAGAGAAACCCCTCTATCACTGTATCTGTAAAATATAAAAGTTCCCAGAAAGAGGGTCGGAGCTGAAGAGCAAAAGAGAATGAAGTCTTGGCTGGGTGGGGGCTAGGAGGACAGGCGTGCAGGGAGGGTGGGGCAGGCTCAAAGGGCAAGACTGTCTGCCAGGAGGGCTTGCCAGATGCTCAGACCATCCTTAGAAATTGCACCCTCCTAGTCCCCAACCCGCCCTGGCTCTGGCTCAGGCTAAATTGCAATGTGCATAATCTGCCCCATTTTGAGAAGATGGGAGGGGGTGAGAACAGGAGGGAGGTGAAGACCGAGAAAGCGGGGGCGCTCCAAGGGCCAGAGGAAACCAGAGGGATAGAGGCGGGACCAGGAGCGGAGCTGGCTGCAAGCCACAGATAACATTCTGCCCAGCACGGCAGGGGTCAATTTGGTCTACTTGCCCAGTGACAAGAAGGAAAAAAAAAAGTGGGCTGTAACTTAAAGATCTTAAGACTCACAAGTGAGGGGTTGGTTTGGAGGTGGGAGGAGTGAGTGACGAGCCAAGGAGGAGACAGAGACTCAGGAGGGCGCAGGAAGTGTCTCCGCTGAGGCTGGGGCGAGGCAGGAGAGGGTGGAGGGAAGTCTGCAGGAGCAGGCATCCTCCAGGGTCCCAAGAATCTGCAGGCAGCTCCTCCCGCCGCTGGGAAGGGCTCTGGACACCTTCAGCTCTTCTTGCCTGCTCTCCAAGGCTCAGTCAAGCCAGAAGCGCTGGGTGCTTGCTTGCTGAGTTGGTGACACAGCCTCGGAGCTGGTTGCCCTGGGGACCTCCTGCTTGTCTTCTCTTTGTCCCCCAGCATGGAGGAAGGTGTTGAATTTGACGACTACGGGGCAGACAACTACGGGGCAGACAACCAGTCCGAGTGTGAGTACACAGACTGGAAGTCCTCAGGGGCCCTCATCCCTGCCATCTACATGCTGGTCTTTCTCCTGGGCACCACGGGCAACGGCCTGGTGCTCTGGACCGTATTTCGAAGCAGCCGGGAGAAGAGGCGCTCTGCTGACATCTTCATCTCCAGCCTGGCCGTAGCCGATCTGACTTTCGTGGTGACCCTGCCGCTGTGGGCCACCTACACCTACCGGGACTACGACTGGCCCTTCGGTACCTTCGCCTGCAAGCTCAGCAGCTATCTCATCTTCGTCAACATGTACGCCAGCGTCTTCTGCCTCACTGGCCTCAGCTTCGACCGCTACCTGGCCATCGTGAGACCCGTGGCCAATGCTCGCCTGAGGCTGCGGGTCAGTGGGGCCGTGGCCACGGCGGTCCTGTGGGTGCTGGCCGCCCTCTTGGCCATGCCGGTCATGGTGTTCCGCTCCACAGCCCCCACCATGCTTCCCAACCCGGACAACATCACCAAGATGCAGTGCTACATGGACTACTCCATGGTGGCCACCTCCAGCTCCGAGTGGGCCTGGGAGGTGGGCCTAGGGGTCTCGTCCACGGCCCTGGGCTTTGTGGTGCCCTTCACCATCATGCTGACGTGCTACTTCTTCATCGCGCAAACCATCGCAGGCCATTTCCGCAAGGAGCGCATTGAGGGCCTGCGGAAGCGACGCCGGCTGCTCAGCATCATTGTGGTGCTGGTGGTGACCTTCGCCCTGTGCTGGATGCCCTATCACCTGGTGAAGACGCTCTACATGCTGGGCAGCCTCCTGCACTGGCCCTGTGGCTTCGACCTCTTTCTCATGAACGTCTTCCCCTACTGCACCTGCATCAGCTATGTCAACAGCTGCCTCAACCCCTTCCTCTACGCCTTCTTTGACCCCCGCTTCCGCCAGGCCTGCACCTCCATGCTCTGCTGGGGCCACAGCAGGTGTGGGAGCGCCTCCCACAGCAGCAGTGGGGAGAAGTCGGCCAGCTACTCTTCGGGGCACAGCCAGGGGCCGGGCTCCAACACTGGGAAGGGCGGAGAGCAGACACAGGAAAAATCCATCCCCTACAGCCAAGAGACCCTCGTGGTTGACTAGGGCTGAGATCCCAGAGAAGCCTGGTGCCCTCTGTCCTGCCCCAGCCCTTGCCCTTGCTCTCCGAAAGTCAGGTAGCATGAGGGCACTTTTTCTCTTGCACTTGACTCCTTTCCTGGCTCCCTGCCTCCTGCCTCCCTCCTGTACTCCTTTCTCCTTCAGTTTTGGGCAGATGTTTGTGGTGCAGTGGGAGGACACAGGGCCCTGCAGACCCATGCTCAGCCACTCGGCGTCTGTGAGACTGACTTTGCGCCAGTCTCTTAACTTCTCTGAGCCTCACTTTCTCCATTCGTGTAAAATGGGAGAAGTCATACCGGCACTAAAACGACGTGTGCGTGTGTCTCAATAAAATTTGGTTTCCCCGCTTCCTTCCTTCTTTCTTGCATCTCCAGCTCTTTTTTTCCTCCCTCCTTTCTGTTGAGTTTTCTCTATCCTTGTCCTCCTGCTGTTTTTCCCTCTATCTTTGTATTTTTTTCTCTGAATCCTTGCCTCTGGCTCCCACCCTCTCTCCCATTGCTCATCACCCCCCACCCCCTGCCATCCCTTCTTCATGTTTTAACCTCCTTGTTGTGAGGGACTCCCAAGGGTTAAGAATCCTGTAGCTTGTAAACACTGCCCCTGTTCAAGCTCTTTATCCTGTTCTCTGAGGAAGCCAAGGAAGCAAGCTGGGGCGGGGGTGGGCTGGGTGTCAGCGGAATTAGTGCTCCAGTCTGCAGACGGGAGCTCCAGAACTTTCCTCCAAATTGGATCAGAGTGCTGTGATTTCGGGCACCTGGGGCAGGGGTAGGGAGCTCCTTTCCTGCAGCCCACCCATGGTGCCAACGAGTTGTGTTTTCTCTAGTTTTTCTGGGACCCTGTCATCCACCCCTATTCTCTGTGGGAACTGGAAGTCACTGGGGTTGACAAGCAACGGGCTCCCTGGATTCCTTCTGTGAGTAGGGCGTTGGGAAGGGAAAGTGGAGGAAAAGGGGAGTCAGCATTTGGTCTATGTGCTGCTTGGCCTCGCTCCCCAAATCCTGGCCCCTCCAACCTCCTCCAGAGCTGAGCTGACCTCACCCCACCCGTCTCCCCCAGGACATTTTTCTTGGGCACTGGTGCTACTCAGTGTCAAGAGTCACTTTGGCTGCGGCAGAGACTCTTGTATGTATATATGTATATATATGTAAGCCTGGATGAGCATAGCATGATAGCAGTGTGCTTATGTCACTTGTCACTTGGATGAACCTCTCTTCCCCACAACACATACATCTCCATTTTTCTTTGAGGGAAGAAGGGACTTATTGAGGCAATATTGAATAAACATGAGCCCGCCCCCACTGGATTTGGGGGCTGCGACGGCTGGTCCGTGTTTTAAGAGAGAAGTCTGTGTTTGTGTTCGCTCCTGGCTCCCTGTAGGGACATCTTTCCCCAAAGCAGCTGGCAACTGAGGCTTGGGGATAAACTGTAGTCTTATGTGCTGGGCCCTCATGCTTTCCCTAGTTCCATGAGGCAAACAGGAGGCTGGTGAAGAGCTGCCCTTGGCACCTTTCCCAGGCCTTCTCCCCTTGCTTTGAGTTCATGGTTTCCTTCAGCACCTTCCCTGTTTCCAGGGTCTGTGACCTCTTCCTAAGAGGGGGACGGGTACCAACTTGTCATGGGATGAAGAGCTCTGTGGGTTTTTTCTCACCTCACCTTGATGATGGGACCCCTTGGCTTCTCCCGCTCTGCCAGGGGGCTGGGAACAATGACTGGAACAGCCACGCAGGGCTGACAGCAGATGTCTACACGCCCAGAGAGACCTTGGGGGTGGAATAGATGGTGGGGCCTTTGTGAGCTGGGAGAAGGGTGTGTATGTTCCGGGTTTTGTTTAGAAGATTCTGGACATGGAGGACAAGATATAAACCACGGAGGCAGGAAGAGCCCAGCTTGGTGTAAATGGACATCTCGACCATTGTCAGGATGGAGTCAGCTCTGGGAGCAGAGGAAGGAGGAGACAGAGAATGGAGAGACTCAACTTAGTAGTCTCCCCATCACAACCCAGAATCTTCCACAGACTCACTCTCTTGGCCCAGGGCTGTCCTCAAAGCATTCAGGCAAGGGTGAAGGAAGCTTCTACAAGGGAGGAGGGTAGCCCTCTGAGGCCCTCCTGGGGACCTGCAGCAACCTCCTGCCTGGAACTCAGCAGCAGCAGCCCTGGGCAGAGGGTGGAGGAGTCTGCCTGCCACTCCCCTCAACCCCTACCCCACCCCTTTGTTGCAATGTCTGTGCTATTTTCTGACTGTTGGTCACTGCGGTTCATCAAATAAATCTGTTTTGTGTAACTATTGTGTTCAAAGACTCTTCTCATACAAGTGTCTTGGGCTGCTGGAAGATCCCCAGTTTACAAACGTGACAGTGGGAGGTGGAGTGACCCTGGCTGAGAGGGAGCGAGAGAGGACGTGGAAACTGAAGGGACTGAAATGGGAAACTGGAAAGGATGTGGGGAGGCAGGGAGAAGGTGGAGAAAGTAGACCCCAAGGAAGCAAAGGCTGTGGAATGAGATTAGGAAGAAGACAAAGCAAACAGAGGGATGGGAAGCAGATACGCTATGTTTTTGTGCTCAGAAAAGCCTAGAACAAATGGGCACATATTTTGGAGTCTGGGGCATAGGTCTAGGGGAAAATATTAACATTCCTTCTTCCCATGGAGGCTGACCTACTATTTACTCATTCATCTCTTTATTCATTTATCATCCTCTATTAACCATTCATTCATTCATTCATTCATTCATTCAATATCACTTGAGCATCCATTTAGTTTAGACCAGAAGTTCCAATGCTTGTTCTCTAGTCAGAGCCACTCTGGATGGTTTGAAAATACTCATCTTCAGTGTCACCCAGACCAATGAACCTGAGTCTCCTGGACTCAACCCAGATGTTTATAATTAGTAAAACCTGCTCAGATGACTCTGCAGGGGGGCCAAGTCTGGAGAGGTCTCCCTCTACATAGATTCTAAATTAATGTGGGTACAAGAGACTAGAGTCACAGGCAGGGGAAGCCGGGTCATGGATCTGAGGGAGGACAGGGCTGGAATGGTCCTCAGGGAGAAATATTCAGTTGAGAGATGTCTCCACACCTCTTCCACAAAGACCTCTGGTACTAAGAACATTTGCAGATGACACAACCATTACCGTAAAACAGATGGGAACATGAGAGTTCCCATTTACTGCGTTTTACCACTGTGCTAGCATTTTCCAAGCATTATCTCATTTAATCCTTGCAACCCTCTGAGAGGGTCATTTTCACCTCATTTTGCCGAAAAGGACATTGGAGTTCGGAGAGCTAGTCAGGTCCCTCAACCAAGGTTACACAGCCAGTTCATGGAAGAGCCAGACCTGGAACCAGACAAGTATAACTCCAGAGCCCACACTCTCGACCACTGTTCCTCCCAAAGCACAGATGATGCTGTTTCAGGTGAGTGGGTGGGAAGGAAGGCGGGGTGTCATCTGTAAGATGCCTGCTGCACATGGACCACACGCGGAGAGCACTGCGTGAACAGGCAGGGACAGGGCAGGGTGGGGACAGGAGAGGGATGGTGGACAATTCATGAGAGAGATGGAGAAAGAGAGAGGAGAGAGAGAGAGAGAGGTGGGAGGGGAAGGAAATGGAAAAGAAACAGACAGAGACAGAGATGCAAAAAAAAAAAAGGAGAGACAGAGACAGAGAAGAGAAACAGAGACAGGGAGTGAGAAGGCAGGTGAGAAGCGGAGGCTGGGAGGCTGGGAGGAGCTGGAGGCCAGGGTAGCTATTAGTGTTTGTTTTCACTCTTCTGAAACACACCAGGGAAAACCCTGAAGAATTTACAACTGTAATGACAAACTATACATCCTATTTTTTTTTAAAGATGTTGTTGAAAAAAACCCTAACCAACTCTCCAGGGAAATTTGAAGTAAGTTACCCACCCCCAGCTCCCAAATTTTAAGGTTATAGAGCACTTAATAATTCATGTGTTTACACGTTTCTTCGTTTCATTCACTCATTCACTCGCTCACTTGTTTATTCAACAAGCCCTTATTTATTTATTTTATTTTTAATTTTTTAAAAGATTTATTTATTTATTTTTAGAGAGGGAAGGGAGGGAGAAAGAGAGAGAGAGAGAAACATGAATGTGTGGTTGCTGGGGGCCATGGCCTGCAACCCTGCCATGTGCCCTGGCTGGGAATTGAACCTGCGATACTTTGGTTCACAGCCCACTCTCAATCCACTGAACTAAGCCAGCCAGGGCTTAACAAGCCCTTATTTATTACCTACGTGCTGAGCAGTGTGCTGAGCACAGGATCAAACAGTGAACGTGACCCAGGGGCTGCCAGTTTGTGTTGGAAACTGACAGTTGAATGAGTGATTATGCTTGAGTTTGGTTTGAAGGAAGGGAATGTAGGAAGTGTTTAGAGGGCCTGATCCTGACAATGGAATGAATCAGTCTGGGTGGATGCCAGGAGGCTGCTGGCTAAGAGTGAAGGGGAGTGGTCCATGGAGACACTGTTCTGTGCAGAGGAAGTGCCCACAGATAAGAGAACACACAGCCCCTCTGAGGGACTGGAAAAAGAGCTCATCTTGTTTTCACCCCAAGCCCACCCCAGCTTTGGGAGATGAGCCAGGCAGAGGCATGGTGAAAAACTTGCCCAGGTCTCAGGGTGTGAATGATAAGCAGATCAGGGGCTGGGACTTAAATCTAGTCTCTAGACTCCTTAGGGGAGCCAGAGGTTTCTTTTTTTGTGTGTGTGTGTGACTTCTAGTTTCTTTTCTTCCTGTAAGATACCTGCCAAGGTCTTTCAAACAGGCTGGGAGTTCTGTTGGAGAAAAATGCTAAGAAGAGGCAGATAGATCTCTTGGGAAGACCCCCATCTGAAGCTAGAAAGACACCCAGCAGAACAAGATCTAGATATGATGGTCCCATATCTCAGCAGGTAGTACTCTGTCTGAATGAACTCCAGGGGGTTTGAAGCTTGCAGGCACTGATTCAGTGGGTGCAGCTCTTCTCAGTTATTGCCCCAAATACTTATAAAGTCGCTGTGAGTGACCTTTGAGTCACAAAGACATGACACAGGAAGCTTAAAATTAAGTGGGTACAACAAGGGAGATTTGGAGATGTTGGGCTGATTCTAGAGGTTTTGATTTGTAGTTCGAGCATTAGAGTATCAAGCAATGTCCATTGGTTTGTTCACCGAAAAAGGCTTTATTTTTTATTTTATTTAATTATTAAAAGTTTTTTTAATGCTCATTCAAGGGCATTTTTTTTTCATTGTTTGAGAGAGAGAGAGAGAGAGAGAGAGAGAGAGAGAGAGAGAGAGAGAGAGAGAGAGAGAGAGAGAGAGAGAGAGAGAGAGAGAGAAGCATCGATGTTAAAGAGAAACATCGATTAGTTGCTTTCTCATATGCACCATGACCAGGGATCAAACCTGCAACCTGTGTATATTCCCTGACTGGGAATCAAACCCACTCCCTTTCAGTCAATAGGACAATGCTCCAACCAACTGAGCCACATGGTCCAGGGCAACAAACTTTTATTCAGTACCTACAATATGCCTGAGACTCTTAGAAGCTGTGGATACAGAGGTAGACCAGACATGATCTGTCTTCTAGTTTTACCCTCCCATTGAGTAGATGGGTAAATTAAGGCCCACAGAGAGGGAACAATTTATACAAGATCTCATGGTGAAAAGATGGCAGGTGAGATTAGAACTCTCATGCTTCTCACTGCCAGGCAAGACCATGTTCCATAGCTTCAGGCTTAGAAAAGAAAGAAGGTCTTTTATTGAGACTACGAAGAACAAGTGGGGTGGGTCAAAACAATGGTGGACCGCTAACTGGGACGGGGAGGGCACAAAGGTGTTTGAAGATGATTAGCCATAGTTTTGTTAATATATCTTTCATTTTAGAAGAATTTTATTTTATTATTTTTAAAATTATGTCTTATTGATTATGCTATGCAGTTGTCCTGATTTTTCTCCCTTTGTCCCCCTCCACCCAACATCCCCCAATCCCTCAGGCCATCCTCACACCATTGTTCATGTCCATGGGTCATGCATATAAAGTTCCTTGGCTACTTCATTTTCTGTACTGTACTTTACATCCCCATGTCTATTCTGTAAGTACTTATTTGTACTTCTTAATCCCCTCATCTCTCTACCCATTTCCCCACAACACCCCCACCCCCACCACCCCATCTGGCAACCATGAAAACATTCTCTGTGTCCATGATTCTATCTCTGTTCTTCTTGTTTGCTTAGCTTGTTTTTTTAGATTTAGTTGTTGATAGGTATATATTTTTGCCATTTTATTGTTCATACTTTTGACATTCTTCTTTTCCTTAAATAATTCCCTTTAACATTTTATAAAATGATGGTCTAGTGATGATGAACTTTTAGTTTTTTCTTGCCTGGGAAGCTCTTTCTCTGCCCTTCGATTCTAAATGATAGCTTTACTGGGTAGAGCAATCTTGGCTGTAGGTCCTAGCTTTTCATGACTTTGTATATTTCTTGCCAGTCCCTTCTAGCCTGCAAAATTTCTTTTGAGAAATCAGCTGTCAGTCTTATGGGAACTCCTCTGTAAGTAACTAACTTCTTTTCTCTTGCTGTTTTTAAAGTTCTCTCTTTGTCTTCAAACTTTGGCATTTTAATTATGATGTATCTTGGAGTGGACCTCTGTACATTCCTCTTGTTTGGGACTCTCTGTGCTTCCTGGACTTGCACATCTATTTCTTTCACCAAATTAGGGAAGTTTTCTTTCATTACTTTTTCAAATAGATTTCCAATTTCTTGTTCTTTCTTTTCTCCTTCTGGCACACCTATGATGCAAATGTTGGACCTCTTGAAGTTTTCCCAGAGGCTGCTTATAATATCCTTAATTTTTTTATTCTTTTTTTCTTTTTCTTGTTCTGATTGGTTGTTTTTTGATTCCTCATGTTTCAAGTTATTGATTTGATTCTTGGTTTTATTCACTCTACTGTTGTTTCACTATAAATTGTTCTTTATTTCAATTAGTGTATCCTTTGTTTCTGACTGGATTTTTTTTATGCTGCTGAGATACTAAGTTCCTTGAGCATCCTTATAACCATTGTTTTGAACTCTGCATCTGATAGATTGCTTATCATTGTTTTATTTAGGTTTTTTTTTTCTGGAGTTTTGGTCTGTTCTTTCATTTGGGGCACATTTCTTTGTTTTCTCATTTTGGCAGCCTCCCTGTGTTTGTGCCTATGTATTAGGTAGAGCTGCTATGACTCTGGGTCTTGGTATCATGGCCCAATGTAGTAGAC